AATGGACTGTTGCCTGTATTGGAAAAACGGGAGTCGGGACATGGCTTAAAGCCTTTCTTCTGCCTGGCGAGGTGTGCATGAGTTCCACGTGTGCCTAGCTGGGATACTTCTTGCCAGCAGGTCGAGTACTGGGGGCTGGGTAACCGGCGCCAGGGAAGCTAATCTGCATGACAGAACTGCCCTCCAACATCCCTAAGCCCTAAACCCTGAACCCAACATCCCTACACCCTAAACCCAATATCCCTAAACCCTAAACCCTAAACCCAATATCCCTAAACCCTGAACCCTGAGATACCATCCCTGAACGAAGTGCCGAGCGGCTTCTTCGACGTCGAGGCTCTGCTTGGGAGTTGCGTCTCGCCGCTTTTCGTCCGAGCTTCAGGGTGTCTCCGTAATGTAGGGGCCTAAAGAATTACTGATATTATTTTGGGGGTTCCTTATTAGAACTATTTTGGGGGGTTCCTTATTAGAATTATTTTGGGGGTTCCTTATTAAAAGTATTTTGGGGGTTCCTTATTAGAATTATAGTATAATGGGCCCCAGAACCCTATTCTAATCATTGAGGCCCCTACATTAATCTACTATAATATGGGTTGGTCAAGACTGAAAACACTGGGTACATCAGACGTGTGAGGCTGCTGATGCACGTCCCGTAACACAATTCCAGGAGCAGTTAGGATAACTGTGGGTTTTGGGTTTGGGATTGAGTGCTTAGGGGTTTGTGGGTTTAAGGTTTAGGGTTTAAGGATGGAGTGTTTGGGGGTTTGTGGTTTTGCATGTCTTCTTGAGTAGATTGCGTGGATTCGGCCTTTCTGCCTTCCCGATCCTTCCTGTAGTGAGTGGACTTGGACACTGTTATTCTGGTCCTTACAATAAGAATCCTCCTATTCACTGTCTTTGTCGGGGTCTCTGTTTTTTGTTGCAACACTGCCATTTCGCTTGGATGAAGACCCTAAACCCTAAAAAGTCTTAGTGAAGCCTTAAATAGTCAACTCCACACCCTCAAGGAAGCCCCTAAAGGAGCTTTCAAAGGAGCCCTCTACCAGGCTCTGAAAATCGCGGCAGCCGCCAAAGACCTGGAGATCGTCGACGTGGAGCCGGTGCCGGAGTACAGGACCGGCTGTGGGTGGAGCGGGGCATTTAGGGTTTAGGGTTGCAAAATATTCCAATTAAAAATCTATTCAACCCTGGATTATCTGACATAGGATTTCCATATACGTTTAAATAGATATTTTAATTCCTTTTTGTTTGGTACTCTCAAAACGGCTAGTTTGGTACAGTATGAGAAGTGTGAAGTAGATGCAGGTGGCCATGCATGTCTGCGCATCCACGGGTGCAGTATGCATGTATGTACTGCCAGATGTCTTCGTCGGCTTCTTTGCTTACTGGTTTAGTGGACAGGAACCGTGCACGAACGCATCTCTGCATGGACGTGTGCTTATACCGCATAAGATTCTGTCCGCTGTGGTGGAGTCATAGTCGGGCTTAACGACGGATTCTTGACTCAAGCGTATGTGAGGCTCGGAAACTGCGCGACTCTATACATAGCACCAACATGATAAGGTTCCAATGGGTTCCTCTGAGAAGGGGTCCAGATTTGAACGTTGCCCCGATTCAGGAGTAGCCGATGCTTTGCCTTTGCCGAGGTAAGCGGACAAGGGGGACTGGAGGGGGGTTTGGGTTTAGGTTTGGGGCGTAACACCAATCACCTGGTGTTCAGGATATCAGATCGTCCCATACGAATTTGGCAGATGCCTTCTCAAGTGTTGCAAGCGTGGCTGTCAAGCCACGCTGCTCTGGGCGCATATCTTGCACCTGTACACCAAAAGCCCTGGCCACAAAAAAAACCCTAAACCTTAAGTCCCAACCACGAAACCCTAAACCCCAAACCCTACGCCCCAAAAGCCCTAGACCACAAAGCCCTAAACCTTAAGCCCAAACCCGAACCCCAAAACCCAAAACGACCTTCGAACCTTCACCTCGACTGGGGAACTGTCGGGTCCCCCCGCGGTTGATGTGCAGGGTTTAAGGTTTAGGGTCTAGGGTCTGGGGGTTTAGGGTTTAGGCTCTCGGGTTCAGGGGTTTTAGGGTTTAGGGTTTAGTTTAGGGTCGAGGCTAGAGGCTTTGGGGTCTAGGGTCCAGGGTTGAGGGTTTAGGGACGCAGTGCTGCAGGCTTTATTGTTTGGGTCCCAGGATGATTCATAGTTGGGAGAGCTTTTCATGACCCTGCAACCGCCAAGAGTGACTATGCTCCCGTGACTATGGACAAGCTCACTTCCCTGATGGACCCTATCCAAACCTCCTGTAGAATCCCCAAGAACCATAAACCCCAAACCCCAAACCTTAGACCCAAACCCTAAACCCTAAACCCTAAACCCTAAACCATAAACCCCAGACCCCAAACATTACATCCTGAGCCCGGAGCCCTATAAATGCTAAGCCCCAGCCCTAAGCCCCAAGCCCTCAGCCCTGAGACCCTAGCAGCAGCCCTCATAGTAACCCTTATAGCTACCCTTGCAGGGGCCTTTGAAGGAGCCCTTAAAGGAACCCTTACCCTAAACCCTAAACCGCAAACCCGAAACCTTAAACCCTAAACCCTAAACCCTTAAACCTAAGAGACCAGGCCTCCCAGGGCAGCCTGGATGGCTCCTTCCTCCTCGGCTTCCTGGTCTATGATCGCCAGCCCGGGCAGCCTCTCGTCTGCCGCCTAAGCCCTAAACCCTGGACCCTAGACCCTAAACCCTAAACCCTAAGCCTTAAGCCCCTGTTAAAAGCCTTAAACCCTAAACCCTCGACCCTAAGCCCTAGACCCTAAACCCTTAGGCCCTAAGCCCTACACCCCAAGCCGTAAGCCCTAAACCCAAAATCGAGAGCCCGAGCTCCCGAATTGTGCTCATTCAGAGTTTTGGTTCGGGGTTGGCTTAGGGTTTAGGGTTTAGGGTTTAGGGTTTCGGGGTTGGCTTCCCAGAAGGCTTGCAAAGGTTGGTGAAGGCATTTCTAAAGCTTCTAGCAAGCTTTATGGTTAAGTTTTTGTGGCTTTTTCGGGTCGTGGGTTGAGGTTTAAGATTCCGGTTGCGGATTGTGGTTTTTCTCTTGGAAGGATGGGGTTCAGGGCTTCAGGATGTAGGCTTGAGGTGTGGGGTTCACTTCATGCCCATGTGTGGGTGAGACTACACAGACTGTGGCTAAACCCAAAACCACAAACCCTATGTTATACCTACGGCTTTCAGATCCGACGCAGCGTCTCGTGAGGATGCACTACTATGCCTTGCGACGGCACCACAACCTCCCAGGAGCCGTTGGGGCGCTCTTAGGGTTTACGTTTCGGGGTTCAGGCTTCAGGGTTTGGGGGGGACCTGGTAAATAGCCGCATGAGCAGCGGTGTCTCATGGGGTTGTTGAGAGGAGTTAGGCACTGCTCTAACTTAGGGCGGCGTGGAAGCAGCTGATTCATGGAAGAGCTTTTTGCAAAGAGCTACCCCCCCATCCCCATGTGAATTTGGGTTAAGGTTACCCTAAACCCTAAACCCTAAACCCATCCCCATGTGAATTTGGGTTAAGGTTTGGTGAGTCTCCTTCCAAGATGGTCATAGTCCTGACACAACCGACCCGCAAGCCCGGTCCACCCTACCAAAACCCTATGTCATGGTGTTTCGGGCTTAGGGCTCAGGGCTTAGGGTTGAGGGTTGATGTATTTTGGGACAAACCCCACCAAACTTCCAAGCCAGGGTTTGTGTATTTTGGGACAGACCCCACTAAGCTTCTAAGCCCGAAGCAGCTTCCAGGAATGTGGCTGAAGCTTGACTCGCAGCTGCCGAGCTCAGCAGAGGCCTGCGCCTCCATACCGGGTGCACGGCCAAATTCTTTCGTGCTAGATGCCTTGCACAAAGTTTCACAGGATTTTTACTAGGGTTATAAGTTATAAGGTTTTTTAGGGGCCTGTCTCAGGGTCTTCTAAGGGTTTTAGTACACTGCTCTGTCTAGAAGGTTTCTTCTGGGTGGTACAAGGGTTTTACAGGATGGGTTCTGTCTCTATCCCGGATTTTGTCGGTGTGTGGTGCAGCTGTCGATCCCTGTGACCGTCGGCAGGTAATATAGAGGTCGGGCAAGTAAGCAGCAGTGTCCCATGATAGTTCCTAGTATATGTATACGACAGTAAAGACCCAAAGTCTTATTGTAACCCCTAAGCCCTAAACCCTAAACCCTAAACCCTAAACCCTAAACCCCAAACCCTGATCATTAAGGCCCCTGAGGCCTCAACCCGAAACCACCCTCAATCCCAAAGCCCTATGAAAGGGATCCTCCTGGAGGCCGATACTGACCTGGAGCTCTCTTGCTTTGGGGTTCGGGTGTGTAGAGTTTAGAGATCAGGGGTTTAGGGTTCANNGGTTTCAGAGTCATGCCTCATCCGATGAGACTGCCCGCAATGCGCTTCTCCGCGATGCCGAGATTTGGGAGATCTACACGCAGAGCACCTTTGAGCAACTTTCGTGGGGTTTGGGTTGAAAGTTCAGTGTGAGGGACTACGGGGGGTTACAAAAGCCACTGCCTTGTGTGGTTCAGGACAATAACACTAACAATAATACTTCTACACATAATACTAGCAACAGTAGTGCTAATTCTGTTAGTAATCGTGCCCAACAGTATGAAAGACATAGTAATCATAATCATAAAAAACGATAAGAGTAATTTCAGAATAAGAGGAACCCTAAACC